TTTGCATTTTTTTTTAATTCAGTTATCTCATATTCAGCGGTGGGATACATGCAAGCCAACACATAGGTAGACAATTTGGCCTTTGTTGTAGCAGAAGACACATGAAAGGAATAATTTGCCAAAGCAAGTTAATAGCAAGGCACGTGGATGTAGATATGTACACATATAGCTGAATGATTTACACGTTTTTTTTTTATAATGAAATTGTCAGCCTCTTTGGGAAACTATATAAGAATTAGGATATTCATGATTTCAAATGTACAATAAATTAATATAATGATGACTTGAGAATGTAATTCAGTAAAGTACAAGAGATAATGGATTTTATAGATAAGATTTTTTTTAAAAAAATTTGTGAATGTCCATCACATGCTTTGAGAAATCTGATAACAAAATTTGAACATATATATAAAAGAGAATGATTAATTAATATTTACAAATTAACTAATATATTTTAACTACTGACTATATTATTATGTATAAAATTTATTTAATACATAACATATTTTATACATATACATATATAATATCAACTATTTTTAATGCATATTTACCAATCGTTAACTTTTAAATTTTTTTTTTTTAATTTACACGTCGTCGTCGCCGCCTCGAAAGCGGTCTAATTTTACATTTTCAATTTATGTGTCGTCGCCTCGCAACTCAAGCCAAATTTTTATACTTTTACTCGTGCAAATATCCAAATAATATCGCAGTCATTTCCCGGTGTTTTTGACATTCTGAACATAATGGAAAAATTCATTTTGCAAACGGATGATGTTTGGGCAACGTTGAGTATGTCCTTAGTCCGTCGATTTCGATTTCAATCGCTTTCGTTCAATTGGATTGCGAGGGATCCCTCTTTCGTTAAATTTGATGCTCTAAACTCATCGACGAAGCTTGTTTAACAAGTGGAGGTCATTTGGATAGTTTTTTGCTAGTGTCGCATCCACTAACACATTGTCGTTTGATCGAGTCGCATACGAACTTCTTTTTGATAAATTTGATGTCTTGAATGCATCAATGTGATCCAGTTTGTAATCGAACAAAGCTTTAATCATTTCATTATGATCGAGGCACTCCGATCTTCGTTCTAATTAGAAACGATGTCTTATTTACCAACAATAATCGATCATAATCTCCTTTGCTTGTATTGACTATGGCAAATATATGAAGGTCAACAAATGACAATGTTACTAACGAAATTCTCAAGTGCTCCACATGCTCTGCCTCAGACCAACTGTACACTAAAATGTCATAAAAAAAAACCAATACAAACTTGCGGAAGGAGGGCTGAAATACCTTGTTCATAAGAGACTGGAAGGTATCTGGGGCTTTGGTAAGCCCAAAAGGCATCACTAAAAACTCGTAGTGACCTTCATGAGTCCTGAAAGCAATATTGTGAATGTCAGCGTGCTACATTCTGATTTGATAGTATCCTAATTTCAGATCAACCTTGGAGAATATCATCTCTCCATATAACTCATCCAGCAACTCATCAATGATTGGTATAAGAAACTTATCCAACACTATTTCCCTATTCAGAGCCCGATAATCTACACAAAATATCCAACTACTATCAACACAGGATTAGAGAAGGGACTAAAACTAAAACGAATGATCTGGGCCTCCAAAATCTCCTTGGTTAGTCTCTTAATTTCATCCTTCTAAACCTGTGAGCATCAATAGGGTCTACACTGATAGGAGATACCCCCTCCTTCAAGATGATGACATGCTTATGCTCCCTTGGGATAGATAGCCCTTAAGGCACCTGGAACACCTCACTAAATTGTTACAGGAGTGATTGGACTATCTTTGGAACTCCCCCCCCTCTCTCTCTCTCTCTCTCTCTCTCTCTCTCTCCATGTTTCCCCCTCCCTCGAGGCTCTGGAGCTCCACCAAGAATCCTATCCCTGCTCCCTGGATTGCCCTTACCATGGTCTTAAGAGAAACCCTAATTTTGGACAGACTAGGATCCCCCTAATCCTCACCTTCCTCCCTTCTATCATGAATTCTATAGTCAATGCATTCTAGTCCACCTTGGTTTCCCCCAATGTCTGCACCGCACCCACTTCATGCCTAAAATTACATATGTGCTCCCTAACTCCAAGGGAAGAAAATCCTCATTCACTTGGATCTCTTGCAGTGTCACCATCAACTCTGGGCATATGTTTATACTCTTCTCCATTTTCTTCGTTCCTATCATGATCCCCAAAAAGTTCGTATCGACTAGCATCAGCCCCAATCAATCCACAACCTGGATGAAGATGATGTTGTGGGTCGCCCCACTATCCACTAGAACTACTATTGATTCTCCTCCTATCCGTCCCCTCACCTTCATTGTGTAATTTGAGGTAAGCCCCACCACTAAGTTTAGACCATGAAGAGAAGATGATTTTGACTTTTCGAAAAGGGTTTTGGTCGAAGCTTCTACTTTCGATGAAATATATGATCCAGCACTTCTTTGAATTGTTGGCCCTCTGGTTTAGATTATTTATTCTTTTGCCATCACGTGGTAGTCACTAAAAGGTTTTGAAACATGTGCTAGATAGGTTTGATTATTTATCATTTGGATATCTTAAGATATCTCTTCTTTTTGCAGTAGGAAATAACAATACCATCTCTAAATCTTTCCAAAATCTGCCCTTAACACTATTATTTTTTTTTATTGGCCTTCCTTTATGGTATACGGTATAGTCGGCTGCATCAGTGTTGCTATGGTGTAAATAGCCTCTAGGAAAGGGTTTTGCATGCCTCTTAGTTTCTTGTGGTGTGGCCTCTTGGATAAGTTATGATTCATGTTATGTTTGCATTGTTTTGTTCTGATTTTTGCTATTTAGCTTTCCAATCTTATTCATGGTAACTTGCAGTTTTAAAGTTCTCTGAAACTTTGGAATTTCTTTTTTTTTTCCTTTTCAAGGATATTCATGTTGTGTGAGTGATGTGAATCAAAGTAGGAATTGCGTTTGGAAATTAAAAGAGAATTGTATAAAGCATTGTCAATACAAATTTATTACCAATAAAATAGAGGATTAAATTTATTCTAAGTAATCAACTTGCTTAGGCGAAGATTTGCGTCGAGATCACCAAACAATTCATAATATTTCAAGATAAAAGAATTACTTAAATGCTCATAACAGAATCCCACAATTAATAATGAAAAAGTTCACCTTGAGCACTCTCTCACTCGTTCACTCTTGGGCTTTAGCGGAGAAGAAAGAACCACACGAACATGGAGAGCACCACTACGGAAAAGGAGACGAAAGATTTCGTTACCGGAGAGGTAGTCGCCGGTGGAGGTGGTGGTGGATGGCGTCCGATGATCGTCCAAGTGTAGTCTCGAAACTGTCGGTCGATGATGCTCACGAGATATGGGACGACTCGCTCCAAGTACTCTTCAACTGTGGTGTCGTCTTCAAATCCTACGTCAAAGCACGGAGATCGTAGGATATTAATGCTTCCGTGGGCGTTGAATACTAATCCCCAATCAAGCTCCGGATCCGCCATTCAACATTGAGGAGGGGCGGGAAGAAGAAAAGGGAAGAAGAGTTGGGCCGTGAACTAGGGAGGGGCAAGGAGAAAATCTGAAATTTGAATTTCAGATTTTCTTGGTTTGGAGGGAGAAGTTATTTTATCATTAAACTTTCCCTAAATCAAATTAAGAGGGGGGCGGCTATTAGGGAGAGAAATTAAGGGGGTAATTAGTAGACGCTTAGGTGGCAAGGAGAGAGAAACGGCTAGGTGTTGGGGCCGGCCAAGCAAAGGAAGAAAGAGGGGAATTTTTCTTAAGTAGTGGGCCCCATGTAATTAATTAAATCCAGATTTTAACTTTCAGAAATTTAATCAATTAAGGAGATTGAAATTTGAATTCAAATAGGATGAGATTTCAATTAAATCTATTCCTAAATGTAGGGGGTTACATTAGGAAAGAAATAATGACGGAATTGATGGCAGGAATTCAAAATTCAAGAGGGAGTGAGCGGCGGGATCTCACCAGGTGAGCGATGGGATGGGCTAAGGGGTGTGATGGCCTGGCTGGGGCCGGCGGCTGGCACAGCCGGCGGCAGGGGGCGGGTGAGGGTGGCCCGGCGGGACAGGGTGAGGGAAATTTCGAGATTTGGCTGCAAGGGAAGGGGCGGGTGTGTGGAGGAAGTGGTGGGGAAGGAAGAAAACAGTGAACTTACAATAAAACCAAGAGCTCGCCGGGGCGGGCTGTTGGGTATTTCGGGTGGAGCCTCTCCTAGGTCTCCTCTCTTTTTCTCAAGCTCTCAAGCAAGAAGACAAAAGAAAATTTCAGAAATTTTTTATTAATCAAACATTCAACTCATACAATAGGAGGAGACCCCTTTATAAAGGTCTCAAAGCATGAAAATAAAAAGACCTACATGCCCATCGGGCTACAACAAACACTACACCATCATAAGGGCAAAATAGTCACTAATACATGAAATAAAAGATACATAAAATAATATAGAAAAATATCATAAAATGACATGGCAACATCAGAAATATAAGCTCCCAATTGTAGCCGTCGATCTACGATTCCTTCGCCAGTAAACCTGCTTGAAATGTCTGTCGATGACCTCATCAGTGAGTGCTACAAAGCGCCTCAACAAATTTCTTTCTTATTTTTTCTGGATAGGTTTCACGTTGTGATTAATTAATGCCTAACTTAAGCATTAAACACTCTAATTGTTCTTTCATCTGATACTCAATTTTTGTTTTCATTCATTGATTTTCTTTGCAAAAATTCCCATTGAATAAAGTCTGCTCTTTGCTTTTTTTGTCCTTCCTTTTTTCATCGTTGTTCTTTTTATCACATTCTTAAGTGGATAAATACCGAGACTCCATCGATTCTATTTGTTTCTCATATAAGTATTTCATGTTTTATTTTTAAACATTTCAATAATCGAGTACTGTGTACTAAATTATCCCCAAAAGGCATTTGATTTACATGCTCTATATAGGCCATTTTCCAAATTATAAGAAACTTGCATTTGCAGGAGTTCTTGTGCAGGATTTCAGAATGGATATTTCTGCACATCAAATCCATCTTTTCTTTCAAGGCCAATTTTTGTTTCACATTTACCTAAATATCTTTGTCCAAACAATAGAGTTTGGAAATCTAATTTATCAACACCATATTCAACTTCCTCTTCACTGTTTCGGAGTTTCGGCGTGCATGAAATGAATGGATTGGAAAGGTGGCAACCTATCAGATACAGGAGTAATGCTCAAGTTACTGTCGACACTGCTAGTAATGTGGCTAGATTTTGTATTGATACACCAAGTGAAAAACAAGGAATCCAGCCAAAAGGAATGAAGAAAGTAAAGAAGAAAATGTCCAGAAAAGCAAAACTTAATGAATTGAAGTGGTATCGCTTAAAGGCTAAGAAGAAGATGAAATCTCCAAATCCAGAAGTTAGAATTAGGTATAAACTCGATAAGGTTAGATGGCTTATATTTATTTGTCTCGTGTCTATCATCATTTTCTAAACTTTTTGATTTTCAGGTTTTTGCTATTTCCTTGTTTAGTAACTAGCTTCCTATGTTCATATGTTGATTGACTTATAATTTTCTTTCTGCCTTAGGCTAAAAGAAAAGAAGAGTGGCTGATTGAGAAACTGAGGAAGTTTGAGATGCCAAAAGCTCCCGAGCCAGAACATGACCCTGAAAGTCTTACAGAGGAGGAGAAGTTCTATCTAAAACGTACTGGTGAAAAGAAGAAGAATTATGTGCCTGTAGGTCGACGGGGAGTTTTTGGAGGTGTAGTTCTAAACATGCATCTCCATTGGAAGAAGCATGAGACTGTTAAAGTCATTTGCAAGCCTTGCAGGCCTGGCCAGGTCTATGAATATGCTCAGGAGCTAACCCGGCTAAGCAAAGGCACTGTGATTGTCATCAAAGCAGATAACACTATTCTCTTTTTTCGGGGCAAGAACTATGTGAGGCCAGAGGTTATGTCACCTCCTGATACTCTCTCCAAACAGAAGGTATGAATTCCTCACATTCTTTAAGCATATTTGTGTTTAGCTCATGTACATTTGATGCCAGTGCTACTTGAAGTTTTTTCCTCTAATTTTAAGGGTTTTGCTAGCTGCTTATAATGGATTTGTTTAACTAATTGACTAATTTCGTGAAATGTATCACTAATAGTTTATCAATCTTGCAAATAGTTGTAAACTTGAAATTAGCATTGAAATCTTGAAAACAGAGGGTTTGCTTGTCAGTTTATTTCTTTTACGGTAACTGAGTCTTTGAATGAACTTCTTTTGCAGGCTTTAGAGAAGTACAAGTTTGAGCAATCACTTGAGCATACAAGCCAATTCATTGAGAAGTTGGAGAAAGAGCTAGAAGATTACCATAAGCACATTGCTGTGTACAAAAACTTGCAGGGAATGTCCTCAACGAGCTTTTCAACTATTGAGTAGTAGTCTGCTTTTTTTGGTTGTTATGGTGAATCCATGCTAATGTACGGCTGAAGCTGGATCAAAGTAGAAATTAACCTGCAGAATTTGGCTGCAGGCCAGTTAGGATCCAGAAATGTTGGGATAAGCATAGAACGATCCAAGATAGTGCCAATTTTTCTGTGTATTCTGCCAGAGTAACTTAGCTGTAACAAGAAATAAAAGGTAACTTTTTTTTTCTCATCCATTTTGTATGCATTGGTACATAAATTTGCTATTTTTCTTGTGAATGTTGAATTATCTTTCATTGCCCAGCAATGTTTTGGGCAGTCTCTTAATTATATGAGAACTTGCTTATTTCATGTTTTCTTTTTTTTCAGAACATATCCTCACTTTATCTTTCTTTCTTTCTTTCTAGAGACTACTATAGCAATAACTGGTCTTTGATTAAGCTTTTGAAGCTATTAATATCTTTAGAGAGAGGAAGACTGGAATTCTTGTATGCATTCATTGAGGGGATTAAGTGCGGATTTATACTTTAGGATCATATGCTATACAAGGTAATTCTTTCTTAGAAATTAACTAATTACATGCTAATTTTTAGTAATATGACTAGGACAATATAAAAATCAGGAAAGGAATTACAATTGATTACTTACATACTCTAGGAGACTGTGAAGGCAATAACTGTAACTTGTAGGATGCAAGAAATAATTCCTCCTATTTTTTATCTGTATCCGGCAGCCCATAGGATCCAAGAGTTAATTCCTTGTCCGGGTACAATGAGTCTTGATGACACTTCCCCACAAGCTATAGAGTAAATGTTCTCAATGCCTAGCTTTATGATGATATTCTGGAATTCGGAGTTCGAAAGTCCTTTAGTTGGGATGTCAGCTAGTTGCTTATGTGATTGGGCATATGAGATATATATCTATTCACTTTCTAATTTTTTCATTGATGAAATGACGATCAATTTCAATATGTTTTGTTTGATCATATTCTTCTAACATTCATGCAATGTTGATAGCTGATTTGTTGTCGCAATATAACTTCATAGCACCTTCCCATTTTACTCCTCATTTAGGATGATTTTAATCCATAGTAATTCATAGGTTCCTTTATCCATTGCACAAACATTAGTTTCAGTACTAGATCTAAAAACAACTAATTATTTCATCCTTCTCTACGTGATTTGATTTACTACTAGAAAGGTGTGGTAGCCTAGTGGTGATTTTCTTTTCCTTGAGAGGTTCATCACCATTAGCATTTGTGTAGGCTTTTATGCCGTGTCATTTCTTCTAAAATAAGATTCCTTTTTCCGAGGTTGCTTTGAGATATTGGAGAATCTTATATGCAACCTGTAAATGAACTTTTTAAGGGCCATGCATGAATGGCTTACAATACTTACAACATAAGCTGTATTTGGCTACTTGGGAATTGTAAATAAACTTCTCATCTAGTCTTTTGATACCATTATCGACATTTGGACTATTACTTGCTTCCCCAAGTTTATGACATCAATCCATTGGTATTTTAAAGGTTTTGCTTCCCATAATATCTATTTTATTATATTGATCCATTGTTTGATTGGGCCACTTTTTAAAGAAGTATTTGAGTTTATTTTTGAAATTCTTTGGATTGTTGGTCTTAATCTCTTCATTTCTTCATAATTATCGCCTATTATAATTATTTCATCACATAAATGATTAGAATTTTTATTAATAGAGTGTGGTCACTAAGGCCTTTGGTTGAAGCTCATACTTTCCATTAATATGGTGAATCTCCGAAATCATGCTCTTGGATTAGCTTGTTTTAATCTCTATACATGTTTAATGTTGAATCCATGATCAAAACCTAATGTTGGCTCTATGTATAGTTATTTTTCTAGTTTATCATAATAAATAAAAATAAAAAATTTCTAGTTTATCATGTAAATAACATTTTTTTCCATGTAACTATTGTAATGACCAATTGAGATGGCTAACAAAAATAGTAATATCCAAATGGTATTTAGTTTTACAACTGGTGCAAAAGTTTTTTTTATAATTAATTGCATAAATTTTAGTGTGGCTTTTTGCAACTAGTCTGGTTTTGCAGGGTGCCAAATTTGAAGATGTAAAAGCATTTTCCTTGGGTCTTTTATATTTTGCTCTTGCAGAATATGTACTCAACATTTGAGAGCAAAAGCCACTGCAACATAACTATGAGGTAGATGTACTGTTTTGCTTGCTGACCTGTAACCTCGGCTGATGTGTCATATAAAATTTGATCTTTATATCATCATTAACTATTAATATTCTCAACAGTAACAAGGTAAATCAGTCAGAAGCTTGAGCAAAGTTATGAAAAGAGTAGCATTGTGCTAACAGAAGCATCCCTTTTCATACGAAGCAAACCAAAGCTTGTCTTCTTCTGACCTTTAAGTCCCTGCATCCAACTAGAAATTATAGTTAAAGTACATGTAGAGCTACACTTGTATATGGTTCAGAGTTCTTAGCTTGTGTGTATATTATATATCACCTCTCCTTCTCTCTGTCTTTTATGTATATTATCTATGCATGCATGATGCATGTATATGTACATGATAACTAATGTAGGGGGGAGAGTTGCTTCCCTCTTGCGCTTCAGAAAATAACGAGTCCAGAATTAGAATTTTTGGTCTCATAAACTTTAGCGTTTTCTAACAAAGAATGATATTTTTCTTTCCATCTGTTATACATTTTACTTGTTTTTTTTTCCAATCGATGTGGGTATGCCAGAGCTCTCGGATCGCTGAAACTAAAGGTTGGCAACACTGAAGAAGGGTGCCTCTTTCAGGTTAGTTTTCTTCTTCCGACGTCTTCATATATCTCTTGTTCTTTAGTTTCTCCAATTTTTTTATTGAAATGATGGTTTTCTACTGCTACAATAGCAACAACATCAAGTCTTTATACCATTGTGTGGGGTCGGCTACATTTATCTTTTTTCTCCATTGTGTATTGTTAAGAGTCAAATTCTCGGTTAAATATAATAAAAAGTCATTTCTAATATTTTTTAACACAATCTTTTTAGATCTTCCTCTACCTTTCTTAACAGTAGTCAAATCTAATATATCTACTATCCTAACTGGGTCATCATAAGGCCGACGTTTTATGTGACCAAACCATGTATGATGACTCTCTCTAATTTTATTTGCCACGGGAACTACAATCTTTTCACGCATATGCTCGTTTCGCCTTCTGTTTCTAAGAGTAAAGTCACTCATCCACCTGAGCATCCTCATCTTTGTAACACTTAATTTAATTTTATGCTTCTCTTTTAATGGCCAACATCCTATGCCATAAAGCATTGTAGGTCTCAATACCATCTTATAGAATTTTTTCTTAAATTTGAGAGATTTTTTTTATCACACAGCGAGTCTGATGCATTCCTCTACTTCAACCATCCAACTTGAATTCTACTAAAAATTTCCTCATTTATTTCGGCATCACTTTGGACAATAGACCTGAGATATCTACAATGCCTACTCTTATTAATGACTTGATCGTCCAAATTCACAAATCCCCCAATTAGATCTATTACTATTAAAATTATACTCTTATGTTTGAGGTGTATTTTTTTACATGGTATGGACTTTAGGATAGTATTAATTTATCTGGTGGAGCTTTCATGAACTTTGCTCACATAAGTGGCTTGAAATGTCGCCTCCGCCTCACAAACAATGGAATAAAAAATGCCAACAAAAAATGCTATCGAACTCTATCTAAGCAATAAATAAACCATAAGAATGGGACTTAAATGTTGGTTTGTGCGTTGATGGTGGGTTGTGGCAACAAGACCCTAGGATTTCTCAACACCTGTATTCGTGTTTGCAAAGGCATAGAAAGGGGAGAGAAGCTCTTGAGAGTTGACCAATTTGTTTGTTTGTGGTGGGACGATAAGACCCAAAAATTTTCAATGCTTGCAACCATGTCATTCAAAGCCGAGAAAATGGAGTCCACTAAAGAGAAAAGTTGATTTGTGCAAATGTACTGGATGACAAGATCCATAGACTTTTCAAACTTTGCCGTTTTAGTGAAAAAGGAAAGAAAAATGAACTCTTATGTCACAGAAGTTGAGAAAGAGAAATTTAATGTCCATGTGGCCTCCTCAATTGAAATGACTAATGAAGAACAAGAATACTCTAAATGCTAAATAGGTTAGGAAAACATCTTAAATGACCCAAAGACTTCTTGATACTTCCAATTATGCTAACGAAAGCAATGAAAAGGGATTCCCAATGCTAGCAACCATGCATGTGAAATTGGACAAAGAGAAGTTTGGCATTTGCATGACCACAATTTAAGTGATGGAAAAGGAACCAAGAGGGCCTTAGGAGATTTGATGTCCATGTGACCTCAATCAAATATATCAAATAAGGGACCATAAGACCTTAGGAGCCGAGATGATTTGCAAATGTGGGAAAACAAGATATGAAAAGTTTTTTTAATGCTAATGATAATATTAGTAATAATGGAGAAAGAGGACTGAGGCTTTAAAATGGGGAAACTTTGTGTTTGTGGTGCAATGGTAAAACTTGTGGATGCTTGGGGCCTTGATATCAAAAGCGGAGAAAAGGAGTTCATGATGCTTGCAACCAATATGTTGGTGAATTTGAAGGAGAAAAAATAGAGGTTATGAAGTGTGATCTCTATAACTTGTTGGGTGAAGAAGTTGCAAAAATTGTATTGCAAATCTAATTATAATAAGGATGCTTTCATATCGGTTGGCTTGATTAGGTATTAGAGGGGCGAAGAGTGTTCCGCTAGCGAATATGATAACTATAGATGTTCAAATCCAGGAGGTCATTGTCTTTGAGATAACCTATAACTCAACACAGTCGACTCAACTAGAATAACAAGACTTCATAAGTGTCAATCTAGGAAGTGGCATGAGTGGTTCTTAATGCGTGGTGAAGTGAAGAAAGAGGGTAACTCTTCATTTGTATTTCCTGAAAAAGTTAGAGAGAAAGGAGAGTTATATGGAGCCAAGTCAATATTCTAAACTCAAATTTAGACTTTGTTTGAGACTACTTTCTTACTGCTTTATAAGCAGCTTTTTAGTAAAAAAAATTCTTGAAAGCAACGAAAAAGCATTTGACCAAAAGTTATCCCAAATGAATCCTTAGGTGGATCCTAAATTCGCGTTAACATGAAACTTGGTTATGGGTGAAGGTTAGGAAGGTATTTGATATACGCTTATGGTGGCTTGACGAGCAATCATTAATGAGCAACTAGCTCCATTGAAAAACACCCTTATGGAATGATGGTTCCCCAAATATGAGATGTCTCCACATGGATAAGATGATTTCCTTGTGATTAAAACTCTTTTGGGATAGTGTAAATCCCTTGAGAGTCCGAATTAGAATGATTTGAAATACAATAATCTCTGAAAGTTTCCCCAAAGCATGTGTTTAGGAGGTCTTGAGCTCCATTCTATATGCATGTGTTTTTTACTCTGAGCTGTTCAAATAAGATTTAGTTGAGATTTGTGCTCAAAGATTTATTTTTGGATTCAAATTGATTCCTCTGCTTGATCTGTTGCAACTCTATGCTTTAGATTTTATAAAAATAAGCTTAAAAAAGGAGTTAATGAGAAAGAATTTTCAGCACATAGTCTAATTTGTGAAAGATATTTCAAGATATAAACTGATTTAAGGCAATTATATTTCATAAAAATAGTGGAAAAAAAAAAAGTTTCCTTAAATTGAATGAGATCCTAATTAGATTAAGAGTTTATATATATATATATATATGACACATTTGATGCATATCAATATCAAGAGATGTGTTTCGAAATATGTTTAATATTGTGATGATTTTTTTAATAAATCAAAAGCTCTAAGAAATCGTATTGAGCAATTTTAATTCCTAATAACATGGTGCAAATGTGAATGATTTAAACTATAAGAGTGGTCATATTGATAATTATCATGGAATTATTAAAGTAACATATAAGACATATATCAAATGACAATTCATATTGTTAAATAAGCTCTACAAATTTAATTACCATGCAAGTTATTCTTCTAAGGGAAGGAAATGGCAATAATAGGCTATGTGGAAGGTAGTTGATATAGAGAAGTGTTTTTCAAACATCTAATGTTGATATAGAGAAAACATCTAATCTTTGTATGATGGATCAACATAAGATAATCAATCACTATCATTCCATAGTATTTCATAGTATTGTATGTGTATGATATTTAGTGTCTTAACAATCACTATTATTCAAATGTTTGATCTCTCATATGTTTTACTACTCCATCATTTGTAAATATTTAAAAATAATAATTTTGTTAATAATTCTAACAATTAAACTCAATGTATATATGATATTGGGGTGTAAACGAGTCGAGTTGAGTGGAGTTTTGCTTAATTTAGCTAAGTTTGTGTAGTTCTTACTGAACTTGAGCTCGACTAGTTAAAAATTTATTTGCTCGAACTTGTTTAGAAAGCTTGAACTTGACTCGATTATTGAGCTAGTTTTAAATTAAAAAATTTGCTTTTTTTAATATAAATTAATTTAAAAATATTAAAATATATTATATAATGTTGATTTAAATTAAATTTTAAATATATTTTAAGTTAATTGAGTAACTCAATCAGTTTTTATGCAAAAGGTGGATCCACCTAGTGCCCATGGTGGGCAATTGCCCACATTAAAATTATTTTTTTTTCCTATTATTGGTGGGCAATTATGCCCACCTTGCACTTGTTGAGGGAGCATTTTTTTATCTAAAATGGTTGAGGGATGATTAACTCGATAATTGATTAATGTTTTATATTGATAAAGAAGTTTTAGATTTGATTATCAAGGAAATTGTAATATAACATTATAAAAAACAATTATACATGAACTATACTCATATATTATTGATATGAATATAAGCAATGATGTCTTATCTTTGAGTAGTATTGTTGATCTCGTAAAATAAATTGTTAGTGTTAAAAATGATGATGCATATCACTTGGTTTACAGATCTTGGCTTTGACTTTATTCTACTGTTGTAGTGGAGAGAGTATTTTCTACTTTGAGAATTATCAACTATCAATTGTGTAGTAAAATAGATGAGATTAGCTCAATGACTACCTAATAGTATACATTGAGAAAGAAGTGTTTGTCTTGATTCCTTATAAAGTCATAATGTAATATTTTCAATAAAATAAAATAAAATATAAAGCTTATAATTATTTTTCAATCTATCAATCATAATGAAATAAAATATCCTATTTTGAATTTTATCTTCTATATATTTTATTTTTTTATTTAATTATTCATGTAATAAATTTGCCCACCTTAAAAGATAAAGATGGTCTACCCTTGTTTCGAGTGCCGAGTCATGCTGAGCTTGAGCTCATTTAATACATGAGCTTGAGTATAGGCTCGAGCTCTAACTGGTGGCTCATAAGCTCGGCTCGTAAGCTTGTTAATGAGTCAAATTTCAGCCGACTCGCCTCACATACACCCCTAATCGGACATATATTCCCCTTAGAGTTACAACATCTGATTTAAAAGATAGATTCAACTGTGGTCCTCAGGCAAAAGCACACTTATTTATTGAGACCATTAAGGATGAAGACGCTCAGTCAAAGCTTAGTCAAAGCCTCAAAGGCCCATGATGTATCAATTATCGGGGTAGGAGGATGCCATAAATCATATTGGAACAAAGAAACTAATAGGTAGGACAGATACTAAAAAAAATTGTTTAGTAAAATTAGTTTAAATTTATTTATTATAAATTAATCAATAATTTATATTGCATATTTTGATTTAACCATGCAACATCACATCACATATATTCCAAGAGAATACTAGTAATATTTCAAATTATTTATGCATCATTTGAAATGGCTTTCTTACTGCATCTTAAATCAACTTTATAGTACAAAAATTTTAATTTTTATATTAGAAAATTGCTTTAAGAAGCAGTAATAAAGCTGTCCTAAATGAAATATTAATTATGTGATTTTCATGTCAAATTTCTAACATCCATACTCAGCCAATGAGCCCATACTTATTAGCAAGGATCAAAGACAGTATTATAGAGTTGACTATGTACTATAATTACATAGAAGTTGTATAAGTATAACCTATTTTAGTAAGTTGTGTAGCACCATGTTAGGTTTGTAATTTTTCTATATGTCAAGGGACTCTCTGGCAAGTACATTAAGCGAGTTATTCCATCAAGAACTTTTAGTTGGCTAGCTTGTACTTTGGACTAACTAATAACAATATTTTGGGTGAATAATAACCTCAATTAATAGGCAACTTTTGACGAATTAATTTTAAGGGTCGATTTAGAGCTATCATTTTGGGTGACTTGTTTCTATTTCTTCCTTATGCAACTCAATGTTTTGGGCAACTTAGAGGGATTTTTATATGCCTCAAGCTAGTCTCAATCAACAATACTTTGAATATAACTCAAACTCTTATTATGACTTTATTAACAAGATCCAAGTGAACATGACATAACAAACCAATCATTACTATGCTAAACAATATGGTCCTTTGTCACTTCAAGCAAAAGCTTGGCTTAAAATCACCTTAAAAGATGAAAAAAATATTAAAATTATGTCCTTATGGTGTCTCAACCAAGTAATCATTATTAGGGGTGAATTCAGGAAGAGTTCAAGTGGACAATTGCTTAGATTGAAATCTTTTTTTTTAGAAGAATAAATATTTTTACTATTTTGCCATATTAAATAAATGTAGTTACAAATAAAATGATACCTTTTATAATTCTATTTTGATCACCCTCAAAAGAGAGACTGACTTCAATATGAAGTAGGAGAGACTATTCTGTGTGATCATCGGACAGTGTCCGGAGGTGAGTCAGGACGTCTAATGTCATTTTTTTAATATGTACCGATGTTATTTACCACTGTGTAATTGGTGACGTAACACTTTCTGATTCATCTCTAAATAGTCTGATGATTGCAGAGAATAATTTCTCACTTATGATTGGGCTCTAATATATATATTTTTTCATAAGGAAAAAAATTGAGTGCGCTATGATTTAAAATATCGGTTACACGTGTCGGTCTCTCCTTGGCTGGACCTTGTCGGGTTATCTTTCTGTATGCACTGTACGTACGTACGTACGTACTCATCCAACTCAAGGGCTTTAATTTCTAGCTACAAATTATCACCGGAATCCGACCCCACCCCGGACGGGCCCCACGCAGTTGACTGTCCAACTAGCCGTTCGCTTTAAAATGGGTCCCGCAAGCGTTTGGTCACGCTTCGCAGGGTGGAATAAAGTCGAATGGTGGTGGGCTTTTCTTATTTTCTAATCTGTCTAACGGCTATTTTTAATGATTTTTATAATACCTCGGCCTTTATTTCTTCTACTGTTCATGCAGAGTCCATACTCCTATCTGTGGCTCGGCTATATTATTTTTCTTATGATGATTTCTTTGATGTCAAAATGAACTTAACTTCGTTATAAGGTTCTCTACTTCTCTTTCATGAATAAATTCAGGCTTCTTTTTTGGATAATTTTATTATTATTTTTAACCTAAATTTTTTAGTACAAATTTTTTTAAAAAAAATAGTAACAAAATAGTGACAAAACACTCTTAAAAGAAGCCTTATTTTTCAACTAATAGAGGTAGATAAGAACAAAATTTTCAAATTTCCAAATTTTTATAATTTACATTACATTATTTTCATATGAATTTAATTAATTTAAAATTATCCTGATGTAAGTTATATTGGATATTTAAACATGACCATTTTTTCTATGTAAAGAGACGATACATAAAAAAATAAAAATAAAAGTCAAGAACTCGGATAATTTTTATGCCAACATCAACAACAACAACATCAAGTTTTTATCCCACTATGTGGGGATTCTTATCTCTGCAGCACTTAACTTACTATTATGCTTCTCTTTTAATGGCCAACATTCTACACACGATAAAGCATTATAGATATAACAACAATCTTATATAATTTTCTATTAAGTTTGAGGGGGACTTCTTTATCACATAATAAGCCTAATGCATTCCTCAACTTCAACCATCCAACTTGAATTCTACTAATAATATCCTCATCTATTTCACCATCACTCTGAACAATACACCTACGATATCGAAAACATGTACTTTTATTGATGACTTGATCACTCATAGTCACAATTTCCCCACTAGATCTATTATTACAAAAATTACACTAATATATTCAGTTTTAGTAAGATCTACTCAAACGAAAACCTTTAGACTCTGAGGTTGATCTCCATAAATTAAGTTTATCTTAAGCTCTCTCTCTAGTCTTATCAATAAGAAAAAAAGCATATACGACGGTATAACCTCTTGCTAAAAGAAAAAATAACTATGACTAAAAGAAAAAAGATATGGGATTTAGTGGAGACATATTCCAAGTAGAATTTCTTCGCTTCAATCATTGGATCTGCTGAGAGGCCTCATGCTTTTGATACAGATCGTTCAATTTGAACCCAACTTTCTGCCAAAGAGATTAGCAATATTAATATGGTTTTAATGGATGTTTATATTGGCACGAAATGGCGTTCCATAATTTTAATATTGGAGTCTTGGAGAGCTGCGAGACAATCAATTGTGCTTCTCAATTTATTTAGAAAACAAATTTGTATTATATTATATCATATTATAATATTACAAAAGGCCTTAGTTAATAAAACATGAACAATAATTAACCTATTAGAGGAGATTTAAATAAGCAGTCTTTTTTGGTGTTAGTTATGGGTAGAATATAATTATGCTTATCAATCGGGTTGTATCATTGACTAATAACTTAATTTTGTCGGCCAAACTCGCTTGGGGGTTGCAAAGTGCCTTCTCCTGCTTCAGATTAGAGGCCTTGCACCAAATATATATATATTTATATATATATATCTCTCTTCGGTACAATAGTACAACGCACAATAATGTATATTCAAGTTCTACAGTGTTGTGCACCTGACACTACAATGTTGTAGGATGTAGCACAGCGATGTTGTAGTTTTTTTACTTTGAGAAAGAGTGAAGTGTTGCAACCCTCTAGAGCCAACATCGTGACGTTGTGAGTTGGGCTGGAGGCAGAGTGGAGCGCCACAGTGTTCCAAACTCCATCATTGTGAGTCGGGCTGAGCAGTTTTCTTTCTCGTTTATCATTTTTAACTTAAAGGGTTGCATCCCTTCATATTATAGAAGTGTATATCTTTATTATTTTTTAGTTTGAATGGTGTGAAGAACAAAAGTGAGATAAGGAAAGAGTGAGAGAGAATAAGATTTGTATAATTTCTCCCAATATTGACATCGCTATGTTCACAAATCCTTTTTTTTAATTATGAAATTATCCTAAATTTTTATTAAATTTTAAGATTTTGATCTCAAAACATTAGCTTAACTTATGCTATTAATTTTCTAAATTTAATAATTAATTTTTTATGTAATTTATTTATTTAAAGAATATGCACATAATATTCTTTTTTGTATTAGAAATGGAGTTCACAGATGGATATGAATTACTGTTTGATATAACTGTTATAGTATTTTAAAGTGAAAAATATGTTATTCGGTTGGAGATACTCTTACCATAATGCATTGTTAGGATAAGGTAATTGTATATATGCAATTACCATCTTAATTGGAGAGGATTTGAATCCCTCTGTTGAATAGTTATAGCCATTATAACAAGGCGTGTTAATCTTATACATAATGTCTACACCCATCGAACAATTCGAATTTGTTAGAACCAAAAAGCCGTTAATCTCTCTATAAAACTGTAGAAACGAATTCTTGATGATTATGATCACGATACTGTCTACAGAGATGCAATAAACACATTAAAGAATATTTTGTTTACCTTAAACTCAAGAAGGATCATTAAATTATTAAAAAAAAAAAATCAAACAAATTTTGTTTACCTTTAATGATTTGATTGCAGAGCCAAAAGCCAAGTAAGCTCATCCTTTGAAGTTCCATCAGGAGACAGAAGCATTGGCTTGTTTGATTGGTGAGCCTTTTCTTCCTTCTTCTCCCTCTAAAATAGTAAAATCCTTCCACTAGAAGACAAAACTGATTCTGGAGCTTCATCGGTTACAGAAGACTTCGAGAAAACAGGAAGATGAAATATGCTTTACAGAAAAAAAAAATCAAAATTCAGATTGTTGATAACTGATGATGCACGCAGAGAAATATGTGAAAAACACCAATTGTCTTGAAAAGTACATCCATTTCAAGGGCTTATTTTGACTCATAAATGCATTAGGATTAATGGTTTATTCTAAAGCTGCATAAAATACCAAGTTTATCTTTTCTTCTTCAAGAAAAAAAACATAAAATATACCCTGAGGATAGCTTAAACTGCAACTTTATGCAGAAGTTACCAGCCTGGTCATTACAACACCAAAATAAGGCCAAAGATCTATTTCAAAAGATGCTATATTCCTCCTAAATATTTCTGTAGGTATAAGTGCCCATCTCCAACCAAATTACTCTCCCTTCATTCTAAGACTTGGTCATCTCAAGGACTGTGGGTAATAAAACGGGAGATCCATATGATTTGCTGAAGGAGATTGGAACACAAAAGGTCTTGGCAAATGAGGGGCTGGAACTGAGCTTACTTGGTTGGTTGGATTAGACAGCCGAAGGCCATTATCTTTAGGTAAGAGATGGCTATGTGGTGGAAAGTAAGTAAATGGCCTCTGAAACATGGCATGTGAGACTGGAACATGCGAAGAAGTATCTCTTGGCGCAAAAGCATCATCTGAGTCATCGATTACGATCACTTCCTTTGTTGTGTAAGCTTTATGGTTCATATCTCTTTGGTGAAAACTGGGTAAGCAGTTGCGTGCCTGTGAACTGGTTATTGATGGAGACTGATTACAAACTGCGAAAGAGAAAGTATCATGGTTTGAAAGCCTGGCGTAGGAAGCAAAACCCAAGGGTGAAGGCAAGGTCTGCACAGTTGAGTTGTTATCTGTAGCTTGAAGAAGAGCCTTTGGCAGGTGAGCAGACTCTTCATTGTGCACCACCATCAAATCCTTTCCCATTAATCTAAGGATGGAATTTGAGCTAGATTGTGTTGGTGTTCCACTTGATGGGCTTGTGGAACCAACGTCACTGCAAGCTCTTGTCAGAATTGATTCAGTTGGCGATTCCAGGGATGGTGTATTTGCTGCATCAGATTTCAAACTTGAGTAAGCATAGAAGGAGGAGATGCTTGGCCTGATATGGAGATTAGGAAGAGGTTTCTGTTTTGTAGGTGGCGTGTTTCCAGCCATGATACTTTGCCAGGAGCAGCAACAAGGATGATAGTCTGAAAGCTGATGAGGTTTCTTCACAGTGGAATCCAGTTCAAGAAGTTGATTTCTATCCATGTCTATTTCTTGAGTTCCTTCACTCGGTAACATCAATGGCAATGGGAAACTCAACTTCCCTTGAGTTGTTGAAAGCACTGAAGCTTTGGAATGGTAATCATTTGGAGATGAAGGAGAAATGGTAGAAGCACTTGAAGCAGGAGAAATAGATGGCTCTCTACAACTAACCAATTTAATCTCTTGATTTGGAACTAAAGGACCTAAGGCAGTTGTAGAGTTTGCTCTTGGAATATCAATTTCTAGATCACCATGATCAGTTAAAAAAACGCTAGATTCTTGAGCAGATTTACCTTTAGCTTGAGATTCAACACCTATATTTACCAATTTTTCTGGTGCTGCCTTATCTTGTTCAAGCAATACTTGAGCCACTGGCATTTCATTTTCTTGGATTGGCATTGTCAAGTTCCTTTTATCAGTAGTGTCGTGCTGAACGTCTTGATCTTGACTGACTAAGGGATTAGGTGTAATGCAGCTAGTATCAGCTTTCTCCAAAGTATCCAAATCCATTTTCTGATTAACTTGCTTATCAGAAATTCTTGTTTGGGTATCTTGGTACTGACTGCTTGATGGATGCGAGCGTTGGTTAGTGATGAGCTTTTTATCTTGTCCCGACAAAACAGCTTTGACAGATCTATGCTGTCTTGGATTGCTCACATAGGAAGCTTCTCCTATCCTCCGATCCGTCCAGGCAAGCAACGACTGATGCTTGCGGAACTTAATGGCGCTAGTGTTCAATCCGCTCACTGTTGACACTCTCTTGGTTTTCAGAGGAAGTTGATAGGTGTGATCAGCTGATCTTTTCTTGGTTTTAAGATGAATATGAGACTTTGGTTTTCTCCCCACATAAAATTCTTCACTATTGCTTCTTGTTGCTGACACCAAAGACTCTGGCACTCTGGACAGCTTCAGGAGAACATTAGCTGAATTACCTTCCGATGGCCATCTTTGAGAACTTTTCTCCTGATTCTCCTTGTTTCGAACAGTACTGGGTGGCAAGTCCACTGTTTTGGATTCTAATAATTGAGACAGTTTTCCAAAATAGCTTTTTGAAGAAGAAGGGGTATCCGATGCCAACATTTCCATATGAGTATCAGGTTTGGTGCGCTCCAAGATTTTATGGAAGTCTTTCTTGCCAACTTTTTTGGCAAGATCTGAGCGTTTTGAGCTAGGCCAGTTCTTTAAAGTTGCCGATCCACAGCTAAGACTTTGATCTGCTTCACCTGATAATTGAACTGGTGATGCTTCGTCCTCTAGATGAGATTCTTCATGATGATCCACTTCAGGTTCTGCCTGGACCTGATGATAAAATCATGCAATCATACTACCAGATACCAAACTTGCTAGATTTAACTATTGAAACACAACAAATTTCTTTATTTATTTATCTATTCTATTGAGTAAAGACACTCCCTTTTTCATACAAGATCAACTACATAAGAGCTGTCAGTAAAATCAAAGTCAGTGTGATAATATAAATGGAACATATAAAACAAGTAGTGTTGGATTACTTAAAAAATTTAAGATAGAAAGCTTCATGTAGCAACAACCATTAATAATTGTATAGTAAGGTAAATACTGATCATAAATTAAAAACTACCAAACAAGAGATAAAACAATAACACATGAACAAATCAAAGTGTCTTTACTGCTAGCCACAATCAGTATCGATCGTTCTTGACTTGACTGTAAACATTGCTATAAGAAACTGTAGTGATTAGTCATGTATGAGTTGGGCAGACAACACCACCTACATTCTTAAGAGATGACAACAACATCAAGCCTTTGTCCCACTACTTGGGGTCGGCTACATGAATCCTTTTTCTCCATTATGTCATGTAAAAAGTTAAATTCTCGTTTAAATCTAATAAAGAATGATCATTTTTAATATTTTCTAAACAAGTCTTTTTAGGTCTACCTCTACCTTTTTTAACATAAGTCAAATCTAATACCTCTACTCTCCTAACCGGGTCATCGGGAGGCCACTGTTTGAACTTTGATGTGACCAAATCATCTAAGATGACTCTCTCTAATTTTATCTTCTACTAGAGCTACTCCAACCTTTTCACGTATATTCTCATTTCGATGAAAGAAAAGAAAAAAAAACATGGATTTACTTCAATGCTTTTCTCAGAACTACAATTGCATCATAATTCCTATTAGCTTCTCATTTAAATTTAAAGAATAAAGCTTCACTCTCCAAACAAATCCACGCATAAAGGCTCCACTTTGCTTAGGTTGATATATACTCTCCCAAGCAGAAGCATATGTAATCCTCGTCGCAGTTTAATTGGCCCAACTAAGCAAGGTGAAGCTCAAACTCACTTATTTAGTGAATATATTTGGGTTAAATATTCAGAAGACGTTAAACAATCAAACAAGCTTGCCGAAACACACATAAATAGATGAATTGTAAAGGATTAGTGCTGGCATACCTCATTCTCGAACAGCTTTAAGGAGCTTAATTTCTTGTTCCTCAATTTTAGCTTAATTTTCTTTGAATATGTAGAGGTAAAATGATTCTTCTTTTTGATTAAAATGATCTTTCCATCTTGTACACTTTTGATATTCCTCCTTGGCCAAACTTCTTCTCTCGTTAATGCTTGGGGAGCATCATTGAACTTGGACAAGATCCGAAGTTTAATTCCATTGGAATCAACATACACTGCGCCTTCATTCTTATCATCTCTAGGTTCTAAATGCGACAACTTGGGCTTTTTAGGCTCCGAATTAGCCTCAGCAGATAGCGCAGCCACACTTAAATCAGTTGCCCAGGTTGAACCATTCCTCCTATCAAGATCTTCCAGCGTGCAAATAGGAGCAGTGGCATAAATATCCTCCATCAGCCTTTTCTTCCTAGGCTTCACCCTAAGCTTTGGCAATTTGTCCACAGCCAGAGTAGCCTCAGACTCCATGGAAAGACACTGATCCATATGAGCATTTAAAGTTGTATTTGAGGTGGATGAAAATGCCTTGCACACAGGACAAACCTTAGATGCCATGATATCAGATGCTGTAGAAGTAGTAGAGTACTCTTCTGCTAGGCTTGTTTCAGGTATGACTCCTGGTTTTAGTATCAGCCTGCACTTATTTAGCTCGGGTTCACCTATCGGCGCTGAGAATATATCGATATCACAGTGATTTGTCACTGTCGAGCCAATTTCACAAACATCATTTACCAAGTTATGATCATATTTATCTTGCTCGCACAAACATGGAGCTTCACCTTTATCTGAACACCTTAGAAGATCTTGCTGATCTGACGATAAACACAATTGATCAGTTCGGGTTGAGTTAGCCTCACCGTCATGTTGAACAGTTTCTCCAAGCTGTGATGAACTGACTGTGACCTTTACAGCTTCTGATACTGACCTTATGAAACAATGGGCTCTTACAGAATTAGGCGGTTCAAAAGGTGGCAGTAAATCTCGGATGCCATTTTTCAAACAAAGTTGCAATAACTGGCTAGGAAATGGCCAACTTTTGCCAATGCTTTTATTTCGTAACGCAAAAACATGGTCTCTGCCAACCAAAAATTGGATCTTTAATACTGTTGATAATAATACATCCATCAATTATGACAAAAATAACATCTTTGGCTACTTTTCAAACCCCACCACTGATCAAATTCAACGGGGGTTACATAAGCCCAAAAAAAAAAAAAAAACTTGAATGGACAAGGTGGGATCTTTTCAGTTTAGGCTTTCAATAAGACAATTTAGAATCATAATCATATGTAATTTCTTATTATATGAAACCAATTAACACTGACAACTATACAAAAACTCCACAAAGAGTTGATACCGTCAAATGTAAAAAACAACAATAACAAAAACAGCAAAATAAAAAAAGTATAATATGAAAACAAATCGTGGAACAAAAAAAAATTAGAGGCAAGAGGTAAGGAGAGGAGAAATCACAAAAGAAATAAGGAACAAGCTTGAACATGGATGGATCTCCAAAACTTTAACAGAAAATCGGGAAACATAAGCACAAAGCAAAAGATCTATCTAACCAAAGTGGAAGTTTCCATCAACTGAGAGGATTAAACCCCGAAAGGGATAAGGCTCTGCCAAAGCATCCATATAGCTGATGAACAAAGATGAGAATCTCAGATCCATTATTGATTTGGACAAGAATCCATAGAAGAAAAAGTGTTTCGAAACACTTGTTAACCCATCAGACCACATGGTACTAGTAAGACAGTCTCAGACGGGAAGTACATGAAGAAGATAAGAAAAGAGAGCAAGGACATAAACAGTTACCTGATTGAGAAATTGCTAGTCCGTGCCTCACCAAATCTTACGACTGGATCTGCCTCCTGAAGTGGAAGCTGGCCAGAATCCCTCTCATCAGCTCTCAATCCTGAAACCTTAGAGGATGAACACGACGGATCTGAAGAGTTTACAAGAGATAACATCTGAAGATGGCCTCTTCTCCTTGGTGCCTAGCTCTTCCAGTATTTGTAGCCCAAGAGCTAAACTGCAACTGGGCTGGTTATTGACCTTAGTCTCCAGCATAACAGATGGATTTGAGCTCACTTAAAACCCCTCAAGATTAATACAAAGGGACGACACAAATCCCCAAACTAGACACCTTTAGCAGATCTGATGTTGCCTGCAAGATGAGAGAAGAGTTTTAGAGCAGGCTTCAAAGTTTAGGGTCATAAACAGTAGATTGATGCTTCAGAACATTATTTTATGTACTTCAAAGACCCATGAGTAGTGGGAAAATTAGAAAGGAGAAACACCCCAGGCAGGATGAAGATCATAATAGTTGGAGAGAAACTTCTGGAACCTATCATTTTATGTGGACAAAGAGATAAAAAATCCGTAGCCCTATACAAGGAGCTATCTTTCAAGCAAATAGTGTAGAAGGGGGAATAGAATAGGAAATGGAGATTCATATTTCATGAGAAATACCAAACTTTGATGGAGACAATGAAAAAAAAAAAAGATCAGGAACCCACGAATCAGAAGGAAACCCAACGCTAGACTTTCTGGATTAAGCAGGGAGGAACTAGGGTTGAGTGGTTAAAGAAATTTAGGGGAGAATAACATGAAATAAGGCACAGAAGAAAGGGGGCAAAAATTAGACAACCATCCAGGAGCATATATTGAGTTTCAGGCTTTCCTTTGATGGTATTTTTTAAAGTGATTATGAGAAAACAGATGATTTGAAGAGATGATCACAAAACTAGGCATAAAAAGGTAGATTTCAGACGAAGATCATTAGCAAATCTAGAGTTAATCCTCCAATACAGTCCACAAGATGGTACTTTGCAGACAAATCAGTATCCAAATTAAAGGAAAAGATGGTGGGAGAAGGAAAGGCAAGGAGGAAAAGAAAGAGTTTTAGAACAAAATTCCAAAAGAAAACCCATGCCTGGCTGCCATAGAAGAATCTTGATAGAAACTCATAAAGAGGAACGAGAAGTGGGAATCTACAGGAAAGGAGAAAAGAACAAAGACATGAAGAGAAATCAAGAAAAAAATGAAGATATTATGAAGAAGAGAAAAAAGATTGCTTTTTTCACTCTTTTTTTTTTTTCTCCGACGAAACACATCCAAGGCTTACCCCTTCATGAGCACCTACTACAACAAAATAGAGAGCAAACAAGCTTTGAAAACGGCAGCTGAGATTTTAAAGCTTCTTCAGCCTCTCAAGCGCATCAAGGAGAGACCACGGAGAAATCCAATATGAGGCAGGAGGTGAAGGTGGAGGAGGAGGAGGAGACGATTTTCAAAATTTTCTTCACGCTACAATTTGAGGGGAAGAAAGAAACAACCCCACCCACTCACGTATCAAAGGCATCCGGTTCTCCACCCAAAAGCAAGCCCAGTACCATTAACAGCAACAGGAGGAGAGAGAGAGAGAGAGAGTATAAAGGAAATGAAGGGTCTTTGTGGGTTTTGTCGTATCCAATAGCTTTCTTTTTCTTCTCTCTTAGGAGAACCGATATAATGAATTGTAAACAATATTGTTTTGGTCCTGCACTTTAACAAAATTATGAAAACAACCCTCGGTTCTTCTCGAAACTCCTAATAACATCAAATTCAAAGTTCCATGTAACTATATTTTCTCTGTTGAATCAAGAATAGTGTTATGATGGCTAATTCAAAGTTCCAACAGCAAAATAAGTAAAAAAATGTAAAACTATTATGATGGCTAATTGAACAACTTATCATAAAATCACATGTTATTTAGAAAATTATAATCATGCCCGATATATTTACAAAAATCTGCATGATTTAGCATGAATCGCAAGAAAAAATTAGAATTAAAAATTTTAGAATTAAATTCAAAATCATATGAACTTCAATTTCAGCAAATTCATCGTCGAACTAAATGTATCAATGAGACGAACCTAATGATACTAAGGGTGGTCCAATCCGAGCCTAAAAGAGCACAAATCATGCATTTTAAGCATAATAAAAAATTTCAAACATTAGTTTGATGACCAAATGATCTTCGAATTAGACATTGTTATCGTATATCTAACGATTCGACGAGACGAATCCAACGAGCCCAATATCACTCAATTCTGACATCATTAAAGCACTTATATGTTGAATAAATGCTTCATGATTAAGATAATCAATAAGGGTCGTATGCTGAAATGTTCTGAATTTCGATTCAAATTACAAAAATGCTCATCCCAAACCTATAAATAGAGCTCCAATCTTCACATGAAGGAAGAGCTTCATCGCAAAATAATGGAGTTCCCTCACCACAATATTATCAACACAATACGGATGGATTGTTTGAAGATACTCGTGAAGAACACCCTCATCATCATGCCGATGCTCTTCCTCCCCCACAATCTAATCCAGAAGTTGATGATGCTACAAATTAACTCAACCACTACGGGAAAACACGTGATTACCGTCGGAATTTCCGGCGGATTTGTTTGCGCCGGCATTGTCGGCGCAGTTTCCGGCGGAATAATGCGACGTAACGTTTACGGCGTTTTTTCCGGCGGAACCGACGCCGGAAATTTACCGGCGCCAATTGCGCCGGCAATACCGCCGGTGAAAACTGCTCTGGATTATTTCCGGCGCAGATTACGGCGGAAACGTTCTTCTAAACTCAACGAAACAGTTCCGGCGGATTACCGAATGTAAAATTCTCCACATGTTCTATTGGGATTTGACTCAACCTAGACATATAAATACTCCTCATGATGTTATATAAGATATACTATGATATATTATCTAAGAAGAATTCCTAATGTAGGATAGAAATAAGTTTAATCCTCAACACAACTTCTAAGATTCATCTCCCCTAATAAATCAAATTCTCCAGCATATTGTTCTAACAATGTCTAAATTACGCATTATTGATCTATATGATGAGTCAACTAATCCCTACGAGAATTTTAGTCATTAATTATAGGATCATCATGCATATATAATGAGCCTTTGATGCACTTCTTTTTCAAAATTTTATTGCTACTCTTAAGGGTCAAGCTCACACTGGATTTCATTCTCTCTCAAAAAATATAATATACAATTTCACTCATCTTACGAGATTTTTTGTTGAACAATTTATTGTCAACCACAAAATGATTAAAGATTCTTCACATCTCTTGGGAATCCATTAAAATGAATGAGAATCTTTAAAATAGTATTTTCAAAGAATTTCTTCTGAAACTCATCAAATTTTAGGAGTGGATCTAGAGTTATTGCGAGGTATTTCACTACAGAAAAATAGCGTATTTCCTGCGGATTTTTTGGCGGAAAATTTTGAATTTTCTGGCATACATCAAAATTTTCCGACGGAAAACGATTTCAACGGTAAATCAAGCGTCGAAAATTTTTTCCAAGGAAAAAAATCGCCAGAAATTTTTTCCGACGGACTTATTTCGTCGGAAAAGTTTTCTGGCAGCTGTCCAATGGAAATACTCCACCGAAAAAAGTAAAAAATGATTTTTAAAATTTAAATCCCGCCCGCTAACCCTGCGGTGAGTCCGCACTCGCTGACTTCCCCTAGAACCAACCTGCCCGCGCTCTCGCTTACTCTGCCCGCGCACAATCCACTCGCCCGCGCTTAAGCTCCCTATTATAATAAGTCAAATTGATGGCACTAAAAATTATTATTAATGTATGAGGATATCATCAAATATATATCATAACTTCATGCTACAATATAGTGCAATGTAGGGGTGTCAATTTTGGACTCGGCCCGAAAAAATCTGAGTTCGGGTTGACCCGATTAGCAAATGAGTCGGGTTCGGGTTTGGATTTTTACCCGTTTTGAAAAACGGGTCGGGTTTGGGTTGACCCGGCAACCCGACATTCAACCCGAAATAGGGAGCTTGTTATTCGATATAACTATCCCCATGTGGACACCTGCTTTTTATAATCCCTATTATAGAAATCAAGCTATGTTGTTGGGTGTTAACTGTCCCTCTATGAGTACTTAATTTCTGTAATCTCTCTCAAGATAAATTAGATGCATGATTAAGCTACCTTTTCATCAACAACGAAGACAGGATGATTCTTGTATCGCTTACTACATAGTGAATTTTCAATTGGGTCAAACCCTAAGATTTTTTCCTTTTTTCAGGTTTTCCAATATAAAAATGGTTGATTGTTCTCCTTTTTATCTGTGCGTGCTGAATTTTTGTATGATGCAAAGATATCAAACACACACTCTATTGACTTAACTTTTTTAGCACGTAACAATGCCATTCAATTTTCCATTTCTATATCTAATACATTTCATTTAAAAAAAGTAAAAATATATATTTTATGTGCAATTAATGAAAATAAAAAAAAGATGTTGGTGTTATATTATTTCCTTTGAGATTTGATGATATTCTTATAAATAGAGATGCATAGATGCTAGTTTTTTTTAATAAATAAAATTTATATTAAACAAATATAATTGCCCTAATTTAATTTAATTATTTAATATTTAACTCTTCTTTAAGAAAAAAAATGGTTGAAACTACTAGTATTTTTTGGATGCAACTAACTACTAGTATTTTGTTATTATTAAGATTAAAGAGAACAGTATATTCTTCGCATTTATGACCTATTAGAAATTACTTATGGATGGGCCCCTCCATTGGCTTCAGTGAAGAGGCTGGAAGGATCCTCCACATGTTACTTTGCTACGCTGCCAAAAGAGTTAAAGAAAAAATAAATTTATTATTTTTGTGAAAAGAGAGAGAGAGAGAGAGAGAGAGAGAGAGAGAGTGGAATTTATTAGCTAAGAATGGATTGCCAAACAATTGAGATATTACTTGAAGAAGAAGCATTTCATATTTTGAATAAAACAGTCACATTTACTTCAAAACGAATTTACCACTTTATCCTCACACTTGAAGCAGAATTACTGCGCCAGCCCCAAAGAACACCTCCGCAGTTACTAAGAATTTTGGATAAAAAAAGATTATCTTTTGGTTTAATCCATCCAAATCCTTTAATTAGGATCAGTTTTTTAAAATATTTTAATTTATTGAAAATGTATTGAAGTAATTTAAATTATATTGTAGGGGTGGTCTCCCATTATTGAAAGCCTATGATTTTTCAAGATCTTCCTTAAATTTCAACTTTTATCAGATGTTAATTTTTTGTATTTTTTATGTAATTAATTATTTACGGAACTAAATAATTTACGTATGTTATTATCATATAGCATCATTTTTAGCATTTTCTTTTTCAGAAAGAGCACTCGAATTTGATCCATCATAATTCTCAAAAAAAAAAAAGCAAGTTACTAATTAATTTGAAGGCATGCGTGAAACTCCTTATAGAAATAAAGTTAAACTCTTCAATATTGAGGCATATTTTGGTGTAATGAATGAAATTTTATTAAGAAATTATAAAATTAAGCATACTCATACAGGAGTAATTCTAGGATGGACGACCTTTTGAAAACTTATACTAACAGAATAAAATATGGATGATCTCCTGAAAAGTTATATAATGGGTTCAAAATCTTGAGGTCATTAAACTAAAGCGAATAATATCTATTATGTGGGAAGACCGAACACAGAACGTTGTCCGGAAACAATCCAGAATGCATCACGTCAGCAGTACCGAGCCACGGTACCGTGCAATACCGAGCCGCGGTACTGATCAAGAGGTTGACATGACGCATTCTGATTGGTCTTCAGACGGCATTCGACGCCAGCAAAGAATAATTAATCTTACAGTTGAGACTTTGAGCAGCTAGAGCTTTTTTTTTTTTTTAGCAGGTAGAGCATATTATTACTTTTACTAGAAATGTAATTTAGGGATTTGCCTTCTCTGATCTTCACTTTAAAATATTTGGATTTGATTGAGTTTATTACAGTTTTGCCCTTTGTTGGAAAGAGGGAGGGAAGAAGCCAAATAGATCACTATAGTGGTTAAAACCATAGGTTGGATTTATCTCCATTGTCTTTGCCTGTATTAGCTTCCTTGGTGGGACCTTTTTGTGATTTATAATTTTCACATCAGAACAGACTAATACAAGCTGTATTGTCTTGATGGGCTTCATTCAATGCATCAAAAATCTTGATAGAATCCTCTTTACAAAGTTTTAAAGCCCTGAGCCAATTATTATGGTGAGTACTTTTAAACTCATTAAAAAAATTTACATAAAAAGTAAGCTGAATGTTTTGTTTTTTAAATGGATCAATTAAAATAGGAGGAAGATTATAATCTTTTTATTTGGGAGATTATTGATTGGTTCGCTTAGTAAAATGGAGCCCAATCATATTTTTATATCAATATATTTATAATTTTTTCTCAATGGTGATGGAAACGTTAAGTAATTTAAATTGAAATTGTTATGGTGGGAAGATATTAGTGAGTAGTTTTTCATTGAAATTTGATAATTTTTTGAACTTTTAGATGAATTTTGGAGGTTGTAGATACTTT